AAGATTGTTGAGGTACCTTGAGTGACACCACTGGAATGAGATTGTTGAGGTACCATGAGCAGAGCGTGAAATTACAGTCAGACATCAGACATTTTCCGAGCACTTACTGTGTTTTTCTGAACAAAATCAAAGATGCTCGGACAAATTGTCAGACCAACATCTCAGTAACAGCTCTTAAAATATCCACACAATATGTGGGATTATGGCATCCAGTTTATTATTAGTTTTGTGTTAGAATTACATTTATTACGCCCAAGGCCTTCATCAGGGCTGATCGCTCATCACTGGCCCATGAACACACATGTGTATACATGTTCTTTACTTGCACAGACATGAAATTACCCCATAATTCTTTGCGCATCGTAAAACATAGGTCATGCTGTCAACCAATGTACAATTTTCCGTGATAACCCATGCATGACACACAACCTGGGTACCAGGCAATGTGGACCAGGAGTGGTTGGCTGCATTCATGCAGTTCCTCCAGTTCAACCCAAGTGTGGTGCGCGCATTATTTTTCTGTAAGTGTGATGGGAGTATACCCTTGTTGACCCGCGGGTCTTACCTTGCCGAACATGACGAGCTCGACCTATACACTTGCCGACGTACAAACTTACTTGTATGTAAGTATTCTTAAATAATCATAATGTTGTGTGCATTAAGTAGCGTTAAGTTGAGTGTTAAAAATGCATTCTGTGCAGAGTGCACAAATTTTACACTGAATGTTACAACTCTGCCTTTTATAGAATATGGCAGATCAAAAAGGGTTCTAAGTTGTGTTTCAATCTAAAGTGATAAAGTCAGCCACAACCACCTCTGAAGAAAAAAGCCCTTTGATTGCACCACATATCTTCAATCTGGTAATTTTCCACCCACCTTGGCCTGGCGGAATGATTCTCTGTACTTCCTGATACGCCTTTCTGATGCTCTCACTGCTCCTCACATCCAGCAGGATTGGCGTGACCACCTGACCGGTCCCTGCCATGTCCCGTTTCAGCTGTACTGCGGCGTCTTTGGTCAGGCAGGCTGCAATCACATGACAGCCACGTTGCTTACCCAGCGTCCGTGCCAAGAGGTTGCCAAAGCCACTGTCGCAGCCCGTGATGAGAACGTACTTGCCGACAGTGTCCAAGTACACCTTGTCCATGAAATTTTGCAGGACGATGAGCGATGCGATCACGACCGCGCTGATTATAAGCCAGGATACCATCATAAAAGGTTCTTTGAAAGATGTGAGAGTTCTGTTAGGTGTAAAGTCAAAGGTAAGGCAAGGATAGTACAAGCACATGCTCATGTATTGCGTGGGAAGAACAGAGAATTGCCTGCTCATTTGTGTGAGGATTTGAAGCAAAAAAGTACCTGTGCTCTATCCGGATTAAAGAATTTTTGAGCAACTAAAGTATCCCCTGAATATACCTCATTGACAGAGCTGTAGCCATGCTGGTTGGTCATATCGGGTGGCGAGCAGGGCTGCTCAGCCCTCATAATCTCCACCTGGCACTTGGGTAATTTCAACCTTGACCACCCAGCACACGTTTCATTCCCTGAATTGGTAAAATGTCTAAAAATCTAAAAATTTCTCATGCGTTTTCCAAGCTGTAGCAATTGTAAGATATTTCTGTGTTTAAGTTCTCATTTTGAACAGCAAAAACACTGAACTAAGCTTAAAATTACACCAATCCAGGCTTTGAAATGAACGACGACGGCCATGTGACCCCATATTCCAACATGTGAGGCCGGCTTTGCATGCAGCATTCCCTGTATTGTGCACATATGTACATGTATATACACATGATGCATGTGGTGTTACACATACAGACGTGCACTTACACAAAAGCTCAGCTCCAGAGTGCACCGATACTTCAAGCAGTGACACCCCCGCTGCACAAATAAATGTCTATATTCGTACAAGTACATTCCAGCGGACTTTCAACTGACTTTCTCTTTCTCAGACCTTGTATGCGGGGTACACAATTCACACTGAAGTCTGCGTACGAGGCAAACAATAATAGCTATACTATGCATTTGCATGCTCATATTTTCACGCCCATTGAGGATAAATAGGTAACGGTACAAAAATGTAATGTGGTTACACAACCATCTGTTGATTTTTTCTTAAGTCTCTTCATTAACCCTAACAGTCCCAAATCCTCCAATTTCAATACGATTTTACATACACCCTAGGGGGTTAGGGTTAATCTAAATAACTGATTGAGAATAATCAACAAATGACCTTTATCAGATGTTTGTGTATAAAAAAGATTTATATTTGTTTGTTCTGCCAGTTACTGTATAGGCCTGCTGTTACTATGAGACAGTTGTTGTTGCATCCTGTGTTCATCTTTATTTATTGATAATTCCACATTTTGCAAACACAAGTTACACTTTATAATTTGCCTCAAAAACCCAATTTCCCCCCCCCCAAAAAAAAACCCAGAACCCCCGTTTTAGGGGGCTCCGCCCCTTGACCCCCGCCAGTATTAAGATAACTCAGCAGTATTAGTTAATGCGGTCTTCCAATCTTTTAACACAGTGTTGCAAACATTGTGCAGGACCTAACAGTTACAATATATCTGTCCACAAACTGTGGGAGGCCATGTTCCTCATTTGTCTTTGAAAATGTTCTACTTAAGCTATGCCTGGCCCCTTTTACATGGAAAAAACAGTTACATCTACTTCAAAGCAAGGCAATTGTACATTGGACACTTTATTTAGCCTTACATGCATTCACCCAATAGAAGGTTTTTGCCCAAGATTTTTTTCCAACGGAAACCTCATATGATACCTACATGCTATAGAATTAAAACGGGTTGCCCTAATTCACATTGAGAATTCCATAGTAGTTAGTCATCTTGTTAACATTGTGCCACACACATAATTTCTTTTTGTTTTATTTCTATGTTTGTGCATGAAATGCTCTCTTTTCATGTCGAGCTCCATGTATTTGCTCAAAATCCCAAACTGGCGGTGTACAGTCGTCTGTCATGCAAAATACATGGTTGTATTTTTCCAACATCATGTGAAGATGTGGACGAATAATTCTGTCCACACTTTTTGATGTGGACATTTGAAGTACAATAAACAGTGCAGGAATAACGACGACAAGTAAATGTGATATTGCTTACCTTCAAGGAGATCTTTTTAGGTGTAAGAGTATTCACACACCGAACAGTTACATGCAGCCTCCCTGTTGGGTGCCTGAATGATGACAGCAGATAAAGCTGCTTTATGAAGCATTCAGCCTTTGGCATTTACATGTGCACTCCTCTTTGACCTTTAGAGTAAAGGCTGCCTTTTAAGCTCAGTTTGTGAAAAATCCAAATATAGCCGAGATTTTACCCTATTCTCAATATGAAAGGCTGACTGATATGCCAAAGTGGATCTGTGTAAACAGTGCAGAGTATTATTTAAACACTGAATGAAGAATGTTCCGTAGATTTCTTCCCAAAATATGAGTTTTGGTTTGAAAAAAAGGCAGATTTTTTAGTTTCCATTTGACATACTTTACAGGTAGCTGAGCCTCTAGACTTGATGTCTTTACCTTTGAAAGATGTTTGTCTAACTGTTGAGTACAAGATTTTAATATACTCACAATCTTTCAGTGGCAGGGTTCAAACCAATCATGTGATTTGTTTCAAGATTTAAATCAGACATTGTAATTGTCCTGTCACATTAGGCCTTTTATTACTTGTATTTGTCAGAGCTTGTCGCTTGTGTCTTATTGACTAGTGGGCACCCAGTTGAACCTTCATCTCTCACACAACAGTAGCATACACGTAGATAACTTTGGATCAAAATAACTACATGTACATGTACATGTACATATAGCGAGGTGTTAAATAATGTTGCAGCATATCTGAATCCAAGTACTTGGAGCTTGGAGCAGGACTTCAAAATCATAAGCAATTCCTTGGAGTAACTCTCTGAAGGCTTGGGCAAATCATTAGAAAGCTGAGTTTAGGCAAATTCAACATGTCCAGGTACAGTGTGCCATATAACGTGTGTCGTTTTAATATGGAAGGCTGAGAGGAGCCTTTTTAAATATGAAGTTGAAAATTGATTTTGTAGTTGAATGTCTTAAATTGTTTGAACAATACCAAACTTTGGTCATCAAACATTCTTTCCACATATTTTTTTCCTTCCATTAAGGCTGGTTTATACTTCAAGCAAATATGAAATTGAAGTGAACTTGACATCATAATATTAACAGTGAAATTTTCTTGACTTGAAATCTTCTCTATTTTTGATAATTTTCTGCTCAAATTTCTGATCTGACATCAGAAATCCACATTCATTTTTTGAACCAAGTCTGAATGGGTCTTCAGATAGTAATCAATGGGCTATTAATAATATTTGAAATGTAAACTTTTTCCCTGCCAGGCACATCCTTCTTGTAACTCAAATTTCAGTTTTTCAAAGTGGCCTATCACTACTTGAGAACAATTTGACCGTCTCAGTGAAATGTGGCATGAGATTCGCTTAGCAGAGGGAAAACAAAAACTTAAGAAACGAAGCTTTTGGGATGTATCCGTCTGTCTCTGCAGGGGATCCACGATGCAAGGCTTTCCTGGAATCTTACTCCAATGCCGCTCATACCATCCAGCAGGACATCCCTGCCACCGACCGACCCCCTGTTGGGCCCCTTGCCCAGGTGGAGTGTTTCAACTGGCCTGATGTCTGCCAACTGGGCAACGTAACAGCCTACCCAACCATCCAGCTGTACAGAGAGGGGAAGTTGGTGACGGATTACCGGGGATCGCTGAGTGAGGCAGGCATCCTGAAAGCCTACAGACTGTGAGTTTGGGGTTTTTTAGTTGTTTTTCTTTGTTTGCTTTGGTTTGTCAAAGATATGCAGCTGGTTTGGACTGCCTATTTCAAGACTAACTGGAATTTGAAGCATGGCATGAGCTACTTCATCAGATACAGCGAAGTAAGACAATATGCAGTGTCTTGAGGAACACGTCTGAGACTGTTTTAGACTGAGACTCTTTAAGGCTGCCTGAGACTGAGGTTGTCTAAGGCCGTGTCTGAAATGGGCTTCCAGAGCTACGGCTATGTCTATTGTCTACGCGTCTCCACGCATTTCTAATGGAGTGAAGACCTAGACCTAGCTCTTGACAAGAGATTCGGTTGTAGCCTAAGACTGTCTGAGGCTTTCTGAGACTGTCTGAGAAAGTACCTCACCCATGTACCGGTACAAAGTGATCGCATACTTGATCCTCCCTGGACCAATAACCATTGAAAACTTGGGGAGTGCAGTCTCTGTACAGGATTGCCAAAATGCCCACAATCCTCAAACTTAAGGACTTGTGCAATGTGTGCATGTGCGTGAGTTTTAACTGCAGTTTATGCTTCAGTATGCACATGTAGATATCAATTACTCCGCCATCACCAGCTGTGATAAATCTGTGTTTCAGGTTGCAGTGCCTCAGGTAACCGCAATGCATGTATCTGTGTTTTAGGCATTCCACCGCCAATCCTGTGGTGTTGGACTCCTGTCCTGATTGCCAGGCCATCAGTAAAGGGGAGCTGCCAAGCTGGGTCTCCTCCACGCTTCCTGCCGTTGTCATTGGATACTTCCCAGATGCTAGTACCAAAGGTATGTGTCTGTACATGTAGGTAGCACTGTAGGACCCCAAGTTTCATGGTTGGGTCACACTCAGAAGTCCGTACAAAACCAGCGTAGCCTCAAAAAGGGTACAGGTTCAGTTTTTGTCGTATTTTCCAATTTGAATATTTCTTCATATCAGTAAGTTTGTCCCATGAGGAGCTTACAAGGTTGGAAGTGGTAAAGAGGCATCTTCTTGTAAAGAGGCATCTTCTTGTAAAGTTGCCATTGGCAAGGTATTTTTGGCATGGTCTATACATGTTTGTCATAAATAAAGACATCTATGCAGACATTACTGTGGATGCTGTGCAGTGTTTACTTCGTCTGATCACCAGTGTTAGTAAGAATTCACCCAATTCCCCTAGAATGTGTGTAACATCATATTGAAATCAGAGGATTGAGGACTTGTAGGGTTAGGTTCTGAACAGTCAGAAGGAATTTTTAAATATTATTTCATGAAGCGTAGTGTAGCACGGTGTATTTGATGTCAAATGTATGTTTTGGAAATTGTCTGCAAAATTGCGACTATTTAAACATTAATAAGTTCAAATTGGCCCATAGTTCTTTTGCTGGTCCTCTAGGCTGAGATTAGAGAGACTATATTTTTGTCATTCATAGAGCGGTCAGAGTTTGAGCATGCAGCCAAGATGCTCCACGGTCAGCACCTGATGGCAGTGTGCTTCAAGGACTGTACACAACACAGGTAAGGAAAAAAAGAAAAACAATTAGTTTTGAATAACCTGATGAGTTTCAACTCAACGGGCATTGCACACTGAAAAGACTTCTAAGCTTTAGGCTTGCTTTGTGTGAATTCTATACAAGTTAATTAATAAGTTTAATATTAAGAGGGGAACCTTGGAATCAGGCACTGTATTCAAACCTGTGTCACAGTGGCACCAAATCAGCGCTCACATTTCTGAGTTTTGTTGACAAATGCTATTGTTTGCTACTTTTTGAATTGGACACGTGACAGAGGGAATAATTTTGCCAAGGTTTTGCACGAGTCCTTCTAATTTAATAGGCATTGTTCTCACTAATTTGACAGTAAAGTCACTGAGCAGTTTCAAATGATCTCATTGACCTTCTGTATTGTAAAGATGTCCATTATTGTGTACCATAGATGTGGCTTTCTGTCATTGTCCTGTGGGCGCACCGAGCCCTTGATTCGTTTCATGACAGCACAGCTTGTGGAAAGCAAGGACCAGTTTAAAGCTGCTCTTGCTCTGTGAAGCTCTCTTGGTTTCCCGTTACTTTTCTTACTGAAACTTTATTCCCTTGGCATTCATCACGGACGATATGTCCTCAGCTCTGACACTGATGGCTCCAAGCCCATGGTGACTGCCTTCAAGTGGGGAGACCACCACCAGCCATTGGTACAGTACAGTGGAGACTACACCACAGACAGTCTGGTCCAGTTTGTGCAAACAGCCACCCTCCCGCTAGTGGTGAGAGCAAGATTCATTCTGTCTTGAAAGTAATTAGCTCAGGAAAGATGAAAGTGTGCTGATAGGTTTTCTATCCAAAAAAGTACTAGTACTAACGTGACTTAATAGATTATAATGATCATAGCAGGGTCTTCTCAAAGGCAAAAGATTCCAAGAACAATTCTGCTAGCACAGTCAGGCCTTCTAACATCTTTTGTGTGTAGTGCACTAATGAATCCTAACTCCTTTGACATGTTGCCAAGTTCTCAAATGTAGTCTCTTCGTTTGTACAAACCCTACCACTGTTCATTCTCTCAAATCCTCCCATTCTTTCACTTTCCAAGAACATTTCATGCTGTGCTTCTTCAGACCTTACTGCGGGCTAGTTTACCCACAGTTCTTCGGTTAGGAAATGCGGGATTGAGCATGTTTGTGGTCTCCCACAACTTACGGTGTCAGTATGTGTAGTCGGCCCATATTGCTAACTCTGACAGCATGGGGCCTTTGAGGCCCAAGCAATTGCTCGTCAGTTGCCGGGTGTACACTGTCATAATGGGTCAAAGCCAGGTGCTTGGTAGGGGCAGATTGTGGTGGTCAAGATAATTTTCTGTTTTCCAAATGATTTCTGAACATTCTTCTGGAAACTAAAGCCCTAATGCAGGGTTACTTATGCGCTACTTTTGTAACTCCAAAGTTTCTTGGCACAGCCGCATTTATTAATTTTCGATGAGAATTTTTCCTCATCTTTGTTTTTCTTGGTTTTTCTCTGCCCAGCCGGAGCTGAGTCCCAGCAACCTCCCCCTTCACTTTGCCAAGGGCAAGCCTTTCCTCATACTCTTCAAGGACGTGGATGACCAGTCCAGGGAGGCAGAGGCTTCCCTGGCTAGTCTGGCTCGAGAGAAGACCTTTGAATCGACGCTCACCATAGTGTGGATAGACGTGTGAGTTGTCTTATAACTAGACCCGTATTCCACTTAATGAATTGACTTTGTTATGTAAGGCCCCTCCCCTTTTTACCGTATATGGCAAAGAAACCCTCATGGGTGAGCATCTATGTTACTCTGGCAGGTAGTGTCCAGAAACTGCCCAATGATAAGGTCTGAGTGAGAACTTAACTGTGGCCTAATTGATTCATATTATTGGATAAGAATTTCAACATGAGGACAATTCCTTGCTGGATAAAATTATATGGTGAGGGTGTTTTAATGAATTTTGCTGCCATTTCTGTCCTCCCATGGAAACTAAAAATCCAAACAGACACAGTAATTTAATTTTGGGGGCCATCTACATGCTTTTTGGTCAATTTTATCAGTTAGATAAACTGATATGATGTTATCATGTTACCTTTTCACTGCTTGGAGAACCAATAGCACGGGGGTCTTAGCATCTTAAACACTGTAAATATTTCCTTGATATACCTGCTCCATTACTTTATTTACATGCAAAGCTGTCACAGGGTTATGCGCATTTAGTTGAAAATTGGTCAGATGCACTTAGCACTATTTCCTTATGCAGACCAGTGCACTCACGTCGCATTTCCTTCATTGGCATGCATGTGAAGAGCGTATTAGGCAGTCTTGAGTCCCTTCATGGAACATCTGTCATCCAACCAAAGCACAAGTCCATTTGTAAGATACAGGTCCGTAACAGGTAAAATTTCAAGTCAAATCACAAGCCAGATCAGGTCAATAACCAGTAAATCACAAAGCGATCACAATTGGTCACAAATCGATCACCGTTCATATCACAAACAACAGGGTATCAACCATGCTATAAAGGCTGAAAAGAATTTTTTGTCTTGGGTCAAAACATAGTAATGGCTTGTGAGTGACTTGTGAGGACATATGATGACTTGATCGCAAACTCTGCAACTTTGACAGAAAATATCTTGCTAAATATTTCTTGCTCAGGTCCCAGCCTTCCTCCATCGGCTCAAAGATCTTGAAGGACTACGGCATCAGGCGGCAGCTCCTGCATCCCAGCATGGTGTTTGTGGACCATGCCACCAATAGGGTATGCAACTACCCTGCCGACTACAGCTTCAAGGCACCGGCCATGGCCAACTGGATCGTCATTGTGCTGAATGGGGAGACCTCATGCTCAGGTTTGTGTCCTCACAGATGCGGGCATTTTGGGGATTTGTAAGGGGGGGGAAGGAAGCACACATTTGGTTGGCGAAAAAGAAAGGTTTGGGAAAGGGGGTTAGGCGCTGGGGCTGGCGATTATCTGAAGGAAATAGTGAGTTCAAACTAAAAATGGTGCTCCTGGGATGCTTGGTAAGCGTGAAAGGTCCTCAGAAACAAAGTCCCCAGATAAAGGTACTTGGAGGCAAAATCCCCAGAAAAGGTCCTCAGAAACAAAGTTCACACAAGGAAACTTTTCCTTCATCCATCATCCCGCCACTTGACAGGTTTGATGGAAAGCAAGTTTGAGCCGCAGGTCAGCCCTTATGACTTCCTGGCACTGATTGAGAAAGACAAGAAGGAGGGTACCCAGAGGATGGGCAGGCTGGCCACAGAGCATCACCATGATGATGAGGAAGGGGTGGAGACTGAGGAGGACAAGGAGGAGGTTGAACAAGGGCCTGGTCAGCAGTTTGTCTCTGGAGAGCACCGCCACACAGAACTTTAGGTTGGACGGGTCAAGTCGAGCGCATTAAAGGGCCCTTGCTGTAGATTTTTTGGTTGCACATGAATCTATGCCATGCATCTGTGCTAGTGCAATTTACTATCACTTTGTTAAGTTTTAATTGCCACTTAAAAGTTTTTTGTGATCTTGTTAATCTGTGTAGTTGATGCTTTCACACATGGCTATGTTTATTAAAACATACATGTACATGATATCAGCTGTGATATGGGCTTTAATCTTGTTACGGAACGCAAACAAATAGCCATAGTTTCATCTCCAGTCAAGTGCTTCATTCAGGGAAGTTTACAAATCTCAGCTTGGACTTTGGTTTTGGCCTTAGGTTTGATTTTTTTGAGTTTGGTCCCCTAAGTTGAGGTCTTTAAACTCAGTGCAGCTTAAGGTCTTTAACTGGTGGTTCTCAAGCTCATGCTTAAATCAAAGTCAGAGATAAAAGAGAGAGAGAAAAGTGCTCTCGGGGTACGCAGTTTCACCGGTGGGTAAACTGTGTTTGCTTTAGAGAATTTCAGATCATTACGAGTGTCTGCTTAAACATTATTGCTGTGGACCCCCCCCCTGGGCCTTGCAAGATATCCTCCAGCACAGATGGAGAAGTAAATTCAATAAAAATAACTCTTTCATCTTTTCAAGTCAGAAGACAGTATCCCATCATATTTACAACATCCAGTGTGAAAACGATGTCGTGTCGGCAATGAAAATGGGCAGTTTTACACCGTGGCTGCATTTCTCTGTCAAAAGGGAAATTTAGCAGTTCCTGAGACCTTGACAAAGGAGTTGTCTTTTTTAAAGTTTTGATGTGTGGATGTCGTTAAGTACTCGGCAGAATTTCTTGCCATTTCATGAAACATTTTTAGAGTGTCATGATTTAGGAGCTAGAGAGTCGTCAAAGATTTGTGGTAGAATCCTCCAGATCTATTAACCTTGATGATGTTGTTTTGGGGGATTTTGTGGGTTTCTTTTTTTGTTTTGCACGAGGGATGTAAATTATAATTCTTGGTTCAATCTGATTTGGTGGGGGCTGTCATGGCCATGAAACCTGCTTTTATTTGAAGTTTGAAATTTGGCAAATCCTTGCAAACCTGATGGTTAGCGGTAAGATATCTGTAGTAGTAAGGTAGGAGGTTCAACTCCCACCTAAATGAGCATGGTAGATTACTACCAAGCTGTCACACTAGCAAGCTAGAGTTGAGAGGTTTAAGTCCTGTCCCACCTAAATGAGCATGGCAGATTACCACTAAGCTGTCTCACTAGCTAGCTAGAGTTGAAAGGTTCAAGTCCTGTCCCACCTGAATGAGCATGGTAGATTACCACTAAGCCGTCACGCTAGCTAGAGTTGAGAGGTTTAAGTCCTGTCCCACCTAAATGAGCATGGTAGATTACTACCAAGCTGTCACACTAGCTAGCTAGAGTTGAGAGGTTTAAGTTCTGTCCCACCTGAATGAGCATGGTAGATTACCACTAAGCCGTCACGCTAGCTAGAGTTGAGAGGTTTAAGTCCTGTCCCACCTAAATGAGCATGGTAGATTACTACCAAGCTGTCACACTAGCTAGCTAGAGTTGAGAGGTTTAAGTCCTGTCCCACCTAAATGAGCATGGTAGATTACTACCAAGCTGTCACACTAGGGTGAAAAGGTTCAAGTTTGAGCTGAGTGAGCACAAACGTCTACAAAAGGTTGACAAAATTTCTGTGGAACTTTGCAGACTTGTAGAAGTTTGGCCAGTCTTACCGCAGCACAATAATTCGGATTGATGATGTAGTTGGATTGCAACAGTGCCATCTCGGACATGACTGTGATGCTTTTCCATGGGCATTTCCCTGGGCCAGTCAGGTCCTTTTTTTAAATCCTGGCCTAATCTCTGTCTTCAGCTCGATCTTTAGCCCCAAGATCAGTAGACAACATTTGAAGTTGTAATGAAAATACTCAAACCTCAGAGAACGGGATAACCTTCATTCTTTGTTATGGTTGTTTGCTCTTCAAAGTGGGAACCCAAGTCCTTTTGTGTTGGACATTATGTGTATTTGTTTGTTTTCTGTGTTTGCTAACTTTGCCATTTTTATGATATTTTGGGGTGGTTTAAGTGATACTTAGTTCTTCTTTTAGTTTATCATTGGAGTATTTAGAAAGTTGAATTTGTCAAGTAATCAAGTAAACATTCCTGTCGGCTGATAGCATTCGTGGAATTTTGTGAAAGTTGTAATGAAGTGGTCAAATGCTCCTTTAAACAAGTACAAAATTACTGATGTGAGATAGTGTTGATGTATTTATCCGTAAGATTGGAAAATGTCTTTCGAGAGTTGTCTTTCAACCGTACTATATTATTCTTTTCAAAGCTAAATAAGATTCTTTTATGCGAGTGCTTAATACGGGTGATTCCAAATAGTGCACCACCGAGAGTTTCCAACGCGTTGGCCAATCTCAATGCGTGAAATGTGTCGACCCTTCCAAAAGCGAATTGCCAGTCAGTACCTCCAGATGTGTCAACACATTCAAATGCACATTGCGTACAGTAGCCACTGCGTTGTAGACTCTTGGAAGCGCACTATTTGGAATTGCCCTCACTAAAACCTCCATTCTCTCAATGTCTGATTAGTGTTGATGTCATATGCATGTATGTGCATTTTCAATGTCCATGAAAAAGTTATACATAAAAATCAAGTTGAAGATGTGGACTTACAGCCAGCTCATACTTCAGGCAAAAGCGGAGCAAATTTGATGTTGCAGTGTATTTTGCAGCCAAATTTGTTTCAGTTGATATGTGTTCAACTTTGGCGATTTCGCAGCATGAACATTTTTATCTCACCTCATAATTTCTCTTGTGTGTTTGCTTTCATGTCAAGCATGAACCAGTCTTCAGGATTTGTATCTTACTGGACTGTATATATCTTCTGTGTGTAAGCCATTTGGAAGGTGTGTGAACTTGTTCCAAAGAGATAAACATTAGTGGATGTGGACCTTCGATGGCATTCACTGAATTGAAAAATAACATTAATCATGGCTGTTTTTTCTGCCAGGTGACCGTTGGTTAATGCACACGAAGGTGTAAATGCTCATTTAGAATGTTTTTTCTACATGTCAAAGCTCATTTATTGATTGTACATCTAGGGCTTTGGTGTATTGGCTTTGTTAGTGCGTTGCTTTGAAATACAGACACAGTTATGCAAAAGCCACACAAAAGCCGAACAAGATTTAGCCGAAGAAAAGAGGTAATCGGCTGCAGGCTTCACTTTGCACTGTGAGTTTGTAGTCCAGTTATTCTACATACCTGGAGGGAATGCAAAACCTGTACGGTGGAAACAAACGATAAAGCATTGAATAAAGTGTTACAAAAACACTCCCCAACCAAGAGTCATCTCACTGGACAAAATTCTATTTGCACAGAGTAAATTTCAGAATGTGTACACTCATAGTACAACCGCAAATATTTGAATATTGAAATACAGATTACACAATTAACAGTATTTACTTTTAATTTGTATATTTTGGCTGAAACACTTGTATTTCCTGCCACAATGTGGCTAGGTGTATTTTATATTCATTGTCACTTTTAAAGCTGTTCGGAATAGTCAACTAGACTTGTTCAGTGCTGGACCTGTACGAGCATGTGGTCATTCAGAGATTATAGTCAACTCATGATTAATCGCAGTCCTTGATTGAACAACTCCACGTTGTATTACGACTGTTGCCATCTTCCTGCCAGACTTGAACTTGTTTATTTTTTTTATCTTGTCAAATTGTTATCCGAGATCATGAAACGTGAATCTTATTTATTAAAAGAGTAATGTTCATACAAGTATGGTACATTAAATGTTTCAATCAGCACAGCTGTCTTTATGTCTTATGACTTTTTCATTTTTGGAGCAAACAAGTTGGATATAGGGTGCTGTCACTGACCTATGTGACCTGACATGCATCTGCCATTGTCATAGGCAAAGATTGCCGTGCCACGCTTCATTACTGTTTGCATTGTAGGCGGGCTTTCAAAGCTTCATCAATGGCAAAAGCACAAGAAAAATGCAGAACCAATTTGTGGTACTGGATCGGAATGATGGCAAGCACACAACACAAGTGGTGACATTTCTTACAACATTCACTGTTATTTTATATGAAAATGAGTACCACTGTCTAATTTTCAATGTACGATGTGATTGCTTGTCAAACACGTGGGTGAGGTACACATTATGGTGGCCGATTTTGGGAAATCTGTGAGGTCAAATGGTATGTTGAGGTCTTGTGATTGGACCCATTATCCACTCAAATTCCAAAATGCCAAATGGAAAATGGGGGTACATGGTTCATTCTCATCCGTAAATTGGATATGTATATACCAATAATTTAATATTAATTTCTCTGTATTTTACTATCTAGTGGCAGGACCATAAAAGGCTAAATTAAAAGGCGACTATGGTGTCCTGTGATAGAGGCTTTGCATTGTGGCCATCTTACCTCCTTTGTGTTTACCCTGTAGAACAAAAGCACTGGCCTGCAAGATGGCAGCCATGCAAACCCTTGATAGTACTTCATAGTTTCCCTCACTAATGACTACGTAGGGGTGACACTTAGAAATGAAGGACAGCTAAGTGTTTCCTCACTTGTAACTGTACTGTGGTCGCAAACTTCCAAAAATGTTACAAATTTTGTCGCCCAGACCTAGACTTTTGTCAAGTAACGCACACAGAGGTACATTTTGTCTTGAAATCATTCACAGATGTGGGCCTAGGTGGTTTTCAAAGCTTCAGTTGAGAGGAAAGATCTGTTCTGCATTTCTGTGTGCAGATGGCCAAGTTCGTCATTTCTGGTGTGTTTCGGAACATGGATGCAACATTTGAAAAGACCCCATCAAACTTGGTGGGTATGCTTCCGGAAGAGATGTGAATTTGCCAAACCTCTCAAATGATCTTAACACCTGTTCTGCCATACACACCTAGCATAGGCATTCCTTTCGTTTCTTGTAGTTAGGAAACCTTGTTGGTTATACTCATTTTTCTTGTGTTGAGAACACTATTTTCAGCTGGATTTTAGTTGGTGATTTTCACCTCCTTTTGCTATGGATAATCCCGAAAACCACCAACTGGACCTGACTTAGTCCTCACAAGATTCACACAACCTGCATTATGTGGACCTCCTTTGTACTGTAGGTACACACAAAAGAAGGCAAGGTTGGCGCACGTCCTCCAACACACACTAAGAGGGGTCAGAGTCTTGTGTGATGCAGAAATCCACCGGGAGGTTTGGTGATGACGGTCTTCCCGTTCATGTACGGCTGCAAAGCCTTGGGGATGGACACACTCCCATCCCTCTCTTGGTTGCATTCTAGCAGTGTGAGAAGGACCCGGGGTACTGCGCAGGCCGTTCCATTCAACTGGATCACGACAAACAGGAGAAAAAAGAGGAAAACTTCTGCAGTCTCATCTGAGAATCACACATTTGTCCGAATCCATCTGAAAGAAAAAACTGATCCATCCATGCGGAGTTATTAAGCCTATATGTCAGATGATCGGCCACTGGCCAGAAAGGAGACCAGAGCTGTTGTCTGGTTGATAGCTGTCAGCTCACTATTGCGCCAAGTAAATGACCGCTGATTGGACAAGTTCTTGAGTTTTAAGATGGATATGTCATGCACAATTAAAGGCCAAATCTGTACAGAAATGGAGCAACGAACATCTGGCCCATAAACTAGAAAACCAAGTGGGAAAATGACTTGATCCATTCTTTTATATTTCCTGGAATGCCTACTTTTCAAGATCAATTGTACAAACATGGAGTGCTTTGATGAAGCCATATTTGCTGACTTACAGTATACGCATGCCTGAGGTCACCTTCCTTGGATCTGTACTTGATCCTCAGCCTTCGGCTTTGGTAGTCTGTACAGTTGGAGGCACTTGATATCTGTTGAGATTGTTCACAGTTGACAAAGATGTAGAAGCCGATGTGGAATAAATTGACTACAAACAGATAGGCCCAATACTAAGACACATGTTTTTACACAGAACTTTAATTCAAAATGTTACTTTTAACCGATCTAATTTCTCACCCTTCAGCACATTTTTTTTCTGCAAAAGTAGCTTTCATGTTCTACTTGCTACCAAAGAATATAGCTCTTCAACCAATACTTAATACAACTACAAGTATTTCAATGTTGACAAATTCAGATAAATTTCTTTGAGGGTTTTTCTGTATTTTATCATGGTCTATCAAATACTCATCTGCCTCCATGATATCAATTTTTACCTCTCCATAGCTCTGTCTTGCTGGCATCCAGGCTTCTATGTCATATTTTCGATATGCTGGTGCTCCAAGATCATGAGATGGCATGTCCAATACTCTGGCAACGATTATGGTACAACAATTATGACGATACAAAGACATCATTTCTATCCCGGCTTTCAGTATCTGGTTCGTATGTGTGACGTCACTTCAGTTTAAACCACGCCCACTGCACATGTGCACTGCGCATAGAGTTACATGCATTGATTGCCGTTTATGTGGAATCATGGAACCGGAAGTTAACGCGCAACTTCAGCGATCGTCCAATGGCAGCCTGCAAATCGTGGCACGTCTGTATTTGTGACGAAGTCACTTACAAACCGGATTAACCACTTCCTGCCGGGTGACCCGTTTTAGGGTACATAGGCTTTATATGCAGAGCCGGGGAGCTCGGAACCAGGACAAAAGAGTTGGGCCTTATAACAAAAGACCGTGCTCAGCACAAAAGACTGAGCTGCTGGGCATTACCAACATTTTTTCGCTCTCAATAGTGGGGATAATCCAGCCTTGTTTTGAAACAGTATTCCAGAGTTTGAGGCATTTAGAGTGAGCAGATTACCTCCGGGGACAAAGCTTTCCACCATCGCTGCACGATAATCTGGCCCCTATTGAAAAGAGGTCAGCAGTGCACTGTGCCGGTTTCGGGAACAAATGAATCTTACGTAACACGGCACAATCTGGGCTCTTTTTCTAAGGCTGCAAGCCTGGCTGAAATATTCAGGAGTCAATGAAAGACACCTGTCAGCTTTAGAATAGTGCCCAAAGAGTCCTTCATGTGGGTATAAATGGCCATTAAATGAAATGATGAATTTTTGAAGAATTTTGAAAACGGAAAATCTTGAAAATGACCTGGCATCTTGTCTTGCTCAAGAAAAATTCACCCGGCAGCAAGTGGTTAAGGGTAACATAAAAATTAGGGTGGGAGTTTAATTATCTCCTGCTCAGACCTTTTCTGTTTCTCCTTATACCGACCACGAACAAAGGTTTTCAGTTTTTGCACCGTGATTTCGTTCATGAAACTCTTGATGATAGCTTGAACCAAAAACAAGCAAAGAAAGAGAGAACCAGATAGTTTGAAAGGAGACGCCTGTACAAATCAAGAATAAGCAAACTATTGTACATTAACCCTAACAGTCCTCAGTCCTCCAACAGGGGAGGGATTGAGGACTGTTAGGGTTACAGAGGAATGGAGATGCAAAAACAAGAGGAAATGAAATTAAGCCTAATTTTCTGCCGTAAATTGGCATACTTCAGGATTCAGAAAAAGCACTGGTGAAAGCACTCACTGGAAGTGAAGACCAAGCTCGGTGAAGAGATCTCGCTGGATTGCGATCAATTCATCAAAGATGTATTCACTCTGATCCTCAGTAGCTACGCAGAACATTTCAACCTCAAAGTAAAACAAAACCCCAGAAATTATGTGCGGACAATGAAAAAAAAAACAATAACTGGTTTATGAAACAGAAAGACTGGTATTTCATTTTCAAGATTCCCATTTTGGTGAGCTGTTCTATGTTAGCCCATGGGTAGGCCTCAGTTGAAACTGGTCCAACACCAAATTGGTTTGAGGGCAATGCATGCAGTGTTGTATTCGAGTCCATCACAAGTTC